CTCTACAAAGGTTCCAGGGATGAAACTCAGGTTGCCAGGCTTGCACAGTGAGTGCCCTTACCTGCTGAGCCATCTCGCAAGCCCCCACAGGTGGATTTTAAGCAGAAGTGGTAAAATAATCAGATTTTCCTTTTAAAAAGATCATTCCAGGCCAGGCGGTGGTGACGCACACCTTTAATCCCAGCACTTGGGAGGCAGAGGCAGGTGGATCTGTGTGAGTTCGAGACCAGCCTGGTCTACAAGAGCTAGTTCCAGGACAGGCTCCAAAACCACAGAGAAACCCTGTCTCGAAAAACCAAAAAAAAAAAAAAAGATCATTCCAAGCCAGGTGAGGTGATGGACATCTGTCATCTCAGTAAATGAAAGGCTGAGGCAGGAGTTCCATGACAGCCTTAACAATAAAGCACGACCATGTCTCAAAAAAGAAAAAAATTAAAGGGGAGGTGGGGAGCTGGAGAAATTGCTCAGTGGTTAATAGCACTGACTGCTCTTCCAGAGGACTGGGCTTAGAATTTCTAGCCCTCACTGGGAGGCTAAGAACGCCAGTTCAAGGGAATACAGTGACCTCTTGTGGCCTCCACAGGCACTGCATACACATGGTGAACAGACATACATGCAGGCAAGACAACAACTCACACAAAAACAAATCTCAAAAACATAGTTTTAAATCATTCCACTTTCAGCGTGAAGGACTACGCAGAGAGCTGGCATGTGGAGAGACTGTTGCAGTTATTTTAAGAACTCCACAACAAATTCCTCTATGTTCCTTGGGCACCAGACACATAGGCAGTGTACATACATACATGTAAACATTCACACAGACATATTAGATAAATATTTCTTTTAAAAAAAGAAATCCATAGGATAAAAGAGGTAGCCGTGAAGATAAACGGTAGGTCCAAAGGACATTTAAAAGTGAAAGTCAACAGGATGTGGCAATAAACAGAGAATGATTAGATTAATCTGTAATCAGTCCTCTGACATTTCAGGACTCAAAATACTAAACTCTTTCATCATCAGGAATCAAGCAGCACAGTAAGTGTGAAAGACTCAAGAGCTGGCTTCCTGCTGGGTTCCCTGGAAGTACTGTCCCCTGAAGCTGATGGGAACTCACTCACTTGTAGAGCAGGCTAGGGGCACTGACGGTGGCCCGGAATCCTTGAGGGGTCTGCTCCACCTCATAGGCATCACAGGGCTCATCAGAATATTCCATGGAGTCTGCAAAGAAACCATAACATCTCTGAATGCTGCCGCTCAACGGAAAGCAGCCTCCTCCCCTCTGCCAATCACTCTCGGGGTTTAACACAAGAACAGGTGCGAGGAGCAGCTTGACTACTGCTTTAGTGTCCCCCCTCGTCCACTCATAGAAGAAATAAAGAATAAAAAGAACAAGGTGGCTATTGTAAATCCTTCATCTCAAAACCTTGGGAAGGCAGTACATACATATCAATATTTAGCTGTTTCCTCTTAGAGAGTCAAGATGCCAACTGGGCAGTGGTTGTGCACTCCTTTAATCCCAGCACTCGGGAGGCAGATGCAGGGGGATCTCTGTGAGTTCGAGGCCAGCCTGGTCTACAAGAGCTAGTTCCAGGACAGACTCCAAAGCTACAGAGAAACCCTGTCTCGAAAAAACCAAAAAAAAAAAAAAAAAAAGAGTCAGGATGCCTAAACAACATGTTTTACTATTATTCTATTCAGATGAAGTTCACATAATATAAACTCAGCCTTTTAAAATCTAATACTTTTTAGTATTAGAGCACAGAATTACTTTAATAAATTATTAATAAATAAGGATGATACTAAGAGAATTTATTCCTTAAAACCTCAACATAGAGAAAAGAGAGGCCAGGCCTTATGCCTGAAGGAGTTCCAGGCTGAGGCCGGGAGGCTGAGGCCGGGAGGCTGAGGCAGGAAGAGTATCAGCCTGAGTTATATAGTAAGGATATTGAGAGAGACACACACAAAGAGTAAGAATGAAAAAGAGGAGCCCAAGGCTCAAGGTTGACAACACACTGTAAGAGAGATCACAGGGAAAGTGACCCCCAAAGTTAAGGTACGGTAGAAACCCGTAGGAACCAAAAAGGGGCAACTGCAAAGAACTGAAAGACTCTAAACCTTACCACATGGCCATTGCCCTGAAAATGTTTATAACCCACCTCAACTATTTATTTCTACTTACAAGGTTACCATATGTAAAATAAAGTTAGTTGGGTCTCTGGGACTGTCAATGCATGACTACCAGGAAGAAAGAAAATAACAACAGTTAACATTATCTGACTCTGAACTAAGCCTGCACACGTTTATTTCAATTACTTATATTCTTAGCCACCTTTAATCCCAGTACTCAGGAGGCAGAGGCAGGGAAATCTCTATTAGTTCAATGCCAGCCTGTTCTACAGTGATTCCAGGACAGCCAGAGCTACAGGATAAAGAGACTCTGTCTCAAAAAAAAAAAAAAAAAGCAAAACAAAACAAAAAATGATGGGCCATGGTGGTGCACACCTTTAATCTCAGCACTCAGGAGGCAGAGGCAGGTGGATCTCTGAGTTTACAGAGTTCCAGGACAGCCAGAGATACAAAGAGAAACCCTGTCTCAAAAATAATTCATTCATTTATTTATTCATTCAGTCATTCATTTATTCATTCACTCATTCATATTCTTTCACAGGTAAAGAGATTTAATTTTGACCCAGAATATTTTTTTTTTCGAGACAGGGTTTCTCTGTGGTTTTGGAGCCTGTCCTGGAACTAGCTCTTGTAGACCAGGCTGGTCTCGAACTCACAGAGATCCGCCTGCCTCTGCCTCCCAAGTGCTGGGATTAAAGGCATGCGCCACCACCGCCCGGCTTTGACCCAGAATATTAAAAGTTAGTAGTAATAACTAACTGCAATTTCTTCACACAGGGGCTCTGCAGCTAGGAGCCCTTAATGCTCTTGCAAATGACCTGAGTTCAGTTCCCAGCACCCCACACTGGGCAGCTCACAACCACCTGTAACTCCAGCTCCAGGAGATCCAGCACCCTCTTCAGGCTTCTTTGGACACCCATGATCATATCTATGTAAGTACACGCATGCACACGTGCACACACACACACCCCTCTAAAAATAATGAGCAAAATTACTCCTCATCGCATTGAAGCCTCTGTACAAGATGAAATATGTCTTGGCTTAGGAAATGCAACCAAGAACGGCTCACTTGAGAGCGGCTTTGTCAGGGTCACTGGACAGCAGGAAACAAAGAACTGCCCTACAGTACAAGAACATTTACTTCTCATCTGGCCTAAGAGCAACGATGGTTACCTTGATAGAAACCCTCATCTTCTTCGTGGTGATAGTTCTTTTCCTGGATGGGATTCTTCCTGTAATTCCGTCCATCGAGTGTTATAATCTGTGGGCGGAGAACATCCATGACACTTTCTCCAAAGGATGCTCTAGTAAAGTCCTGAAAAAGACAAACCATCTTTTTACCTTTTTTTTTTTTATTAGAAATAAAAGCTTATGTGGGTAAGATGACTGAACAGGTAATGGCACTTGCTCCCAAGGCTGATGACCCACATGGCAGAAGAAGAAAACTTGACTCCTACAGGCTGTCCTCTGAACATGCAGCCAGGAAGCACAGGCACAGACAAAATAAATAAATGGAATAAAATAATTAAGCCGGGCGGTGGTGGTACATGCCTTTAATCCCAGCACTCGGGAGGCAGAGACAGGCGGATCTCTGTGAGTTCAAGGGTAGCCTGGTTAACAAGACCTAGTTCCAGAACAGGCTCCAAAGCTACACAGACAAACCCTGTCTCAAAAAAACAAACAAACAAACAAAAAACATTAAATTAAAAGCCTCCATTATATGGACCATTATGTATGCCTGAATGGACATAACTGGGCAGTAATTTATAGCACATCCTATGAAGAATATTGTTCCTTTTCATTGGCCTACCGCTGCATGTAAACTCTTATAAGGCAAGGACTGCATTTCCTATCATTTATTACATCCCCGACTCACTCTAGACAGTGATTTGTAATCAGCCCTCCAATAAGAGGCATTAGTAGTATACAACCTGCCAATGACTTTGAGAGAACATAGGTATCTGATTACTTGAACCTAAAGGTGAGTGCAGTCTTGACATCTACCTAACCATAGGCAAAGTGCTTCGTTCTTCCTATCCAACATAATAACAAAATGAGGAGCCATTCAAACAATATCCACGGAAGAGTGCTAAGTTTGTGTAAAGGCGCTAGAAATGCCTAACAATCAGATGTAATTTCCCTATCAAAGTACAACTCAAATATGATTTAACACAGTCTCAGACCAACACATCAGTTAGAAGGAACAGTTTCTGGAGGTCGCTGCCCTAGCAAGTGCTGCATCATTTCCTGAGAAAAGCAAAACGCCTAGTCACCACTTGAGTCAATAGTTGGGAAATAAAGGCCCCTTATGAAGTAGCGGTGGTTAAGTCCAACCCATGTTCCCATCACAGATGGCTGGGTCTTCAAGCCCATGTACTTAAAAGTGCCAAAGAAAACATTGCAAGCCCAACCCTCTGCCAAGTCGCTAATCGGGAGCCGCCAGCCCAGAACCAAGGCGAGGGGTTGTGCTTTTGAGAACACAGAACGTCAACGTTCACGAGAGGATGCAATTATCAACAGCCTCGACATGACACCCTGGTGGGCTATTCCTTTAGCCTGCCCTCCCCACCTAGGAACAAAAGTAGTAGCCTTTGGACAGGAAAGTTGGGGCCCTGAGAGCGAGGTGGCTGTGGTGCACACTCATCTACCTTTCCTGCGCAGCTCCGGGCAGAGAGACTGCGCACAAGGACGGAAACCGACTAGCCAGCCCTGTGTCTTGGAGACTGGGAGGAGAGGCATATAAGTCTTCGTGTAACTATCGTGGGAGAAGTGGAAATCCTAAACTATAAGAGAAAACAAAGAACCCCTACGCCAGAGGCAGGTACCAGAAAACACCGCAGCAGCAAGATAACCAGAACCCCCGAGAAGGTGACAGGGTTGGAGTGACCCGGAAGTGTTCCCCGAAAGCTCGCTCCCCGCCCAGCTCCGGCCACGCCCTCGGTGCGCACGCGCGATAGCCTCGACACTACCCCCCCACCACCACCTCCCCACCCCCGGCACAGGGGCGGGCGCACAGAGAGCGGGCGGGCGGGCATGCGCACGTCACCGTCTACGTCGTAGTGAACGAAGCTGCGCTGCTTGGTCCAGAGGGCGGGGCTTTCAGTCAAAGTACACAAGCTACTCAGGTAAGTAGCCAAGGCTTCCAGAACCTTCGGTGGTTCGATGGGGCGTTGAGCCTACGATCCTACCTGCCAGGACTAACAGAGGGTGGAAGGAGACCCTGGAGGCTCTCCCGCGCTGGGCGTGTGCAAAGCTCTGTCCTCCGACTGAGCATGCGCGCGGAGGGTTGGCGCCTGCGCAGTGGGGCGGCCGCGAGCCCTTCCTCCCCCCACTCCCCCCCACCCGCTTCCTCCCGAGTTGCTGGGTGGGAAGCGTGCCTTGGGTGGAGTCAGCGTAACCGGGACTAGTGTGCTGACTCTTCCCCGTCCCGGTTCTTCTTTCCACCCAGAAGTGCTAAATCTATTTGATTTGGGTGATAACCCGTCTGTTGAGGTGGAACACACAGGAAGGATCTGTGGGTCCGACAACAATGGTTGTCATAATTAGCCTTCGTACTGGATCCGATCGACTTAAGTATCTGGTTTGTTCTAAGACTTAATTTTAACAAAACTTTGTTTTGTTTTGTTTTGTCTGCTTTTAAGAAAATAAGCATAGGGGGCTGGAGAGATGGCTCAGCGGTCAAGAGCATTGCCTGCTCTTCCAAAGGTCCTGAGTTCAATTCCCAGCAACCACGTGGTGGCTCACAAGCATCTGAAATGAGATCTGATGCCCTCTTCTGGCCTGCAGGCAGACACACAGACAGAATATTGTATACATAATAAATAAAATATTTTTAAAGAAAAGAAAAGCATAAAGTAATTTATGAGTGCAAGGTCATTTCTGTCTTACACAAAGTAAGTATTTGACCGAGCCATATTGTGTCCCACAAATGTTCCTTTTCCTCTGAGCTGTTCTGCTGTCAGCAGCCCCAAGTTCCAGGATGCTCAATTATCAGCATTCAGCAAACTCTACTGAGTGTTTCTTACGGGCCTGGCAACCTCCTGGGAAGCAAAGTTGTATACTCCGCACAGTGAAAACAACCAGAACGGACTGACCTTCGTGACTTCGACCATCTCCGTCCCCTGCAGTCTCTACTGAGCTGCCAGCTCCTGTTCTATGATTTATAAATCATTCATTTGTCCAGGAAACATTGTGATAAGGGATTTATACGATGCCTCAAGGATACATAAGCGATTTGTGTCCTGCTTTCCAACTTGACAAGATCCTTTCCACTGCCTTCCACATACTAAGCAAATGCTCTACCACTGAACTGTATGTCTCCAGTCCCAAGATCACAGACAAGACTTTTACATGTGTGTGTGCCCATGCATGCAGAGCCTTGAAGCTTATGTCTGATGTCTTCTTCCATAGCTTTCATAACTTCCCTGAACCCAGAATGGGTCCATTCCCACTAATCTAGCTACCCGTCCTGCTATTGGGAGTTGCTTATATTTAACTCCCCAGTGCTGGGGTTACAGGCAGCTCCCACACCTGCAAATCTGGTGAGGTCTGGGAATCCCCAACTCCTCCAGTGCAAGCACTTTCTCCATGGAGCCATCTTCGCAGACCCGGTGCAGAACAAGATGAGAAGTGAGCATGCCGACTGAGGGTGTAGCCCAGAGGTAAAATGTGTGAGGTGCATAACAGATAAGGCTGTCAGCCTTCCCAGCAGACAGACCCTTCTCTTCCAGGAGTCTCAACATAGCTATGTCAAAGAGAATCTTAAATACTTGGCTCTGCATCAGGAAAAGTGGGTGTGATAGTGCATGCCTTAATTCCAACACTCAGTAGGCCATCCCTACAGAGTCTGGGCTACAAAGCAATAGTCTAAAAAAATTAATTAATTAATTTAAAAAAGCAGGTGCCAGTGTCTATTACTGGTTTTTGTTTCTTCTTAAGATGCTGTTTTTCCTAAGCCTGAAGCTGTTCTAGTTGCTTTGCCTGTATTGATCTAACCTTCGTAACACTTCTATAAGGTAGACACTATTATTGATTCCATTTTACAGGTGAGGCGTCTAAGGAAGAAAAAAAGTCAACTGATTTGATTTGTCCAGTCACACAGCAGATAGCAAAGCCAAGATTGGTTGGTTGGTTGGTTTTGTTTTTCCAAGACAGGGTTTCTTCTGTGTATCTTTGGCTGTCCCTAGAACTTACTCAGTAGACCAGGCTGTCCTCTATCTCACAGTGATCTGCCTGCCTCTGCCTACCGTAGTGCTGGGATTAAAGGCATGAGCCACCATACCCAGTGGCAGCCAGTTTTTTAATAGCTTATTATTGTTTAATGATTTATTTACTTTATTTGCATGTGTATCTGTGTGGGGTGTGTGTGTGTGTGACCATGACCAAGGAGGCTAGAAGACAGCAGATCACCCAGAGCTGGGGTTGCAGGTGAATGTGAGCCACCAAACTCCAGTCCCCTGCAAGAGCAGCAAGCACTCTTCACCTCTGAGCCAACTCCTCCGCCCTCACAGTCATCCCTCAATCACTGTGCTAGCTTCCTCTCGCGCACAACAGCATATCAGCAAGCCATTGCTTCAGATATTAGGTGACCTTTAGGAAGTCAGTGGTTCCTGTGAGCTGTGTGAGCATGCTATGAACATGCTTAAATGAGTGGCTACTTAGAATATGACACTAATCACTTAGTTCATCCCTATGCTCAGCATTTAGAGTCTAGGGTTTGTTGTTAGCTTAACTCCTGATGGCATTCAGAACTAGAGACTGGAGTTGTAGCTCAGGGTGGAACCTGTGGAACATTCACAGGACCTGACTCCTCCTCCAGCACCAGCAAGAGAAGAAACAAACAAAAAACCTTAACAAATCTTTAGAACCAGGGATCTTACTTGTATGTCTGTCTCTGCGTCTCAGCAGAAGACAGCTTATTTAAAGTTAACTTTGGGGGCTGGAGAGATGGCTCAGCGGTTAAGAGCATTGCCTGCTCTTCCAAAGGTCCTGAGTTCAATTCCCAGCAACCACATGGTGGCTCACAACCATCTGTAATAAGGCCTGTAGGAAAGAATTCTGTATACATAATAAACAAATAAATAAATATAAAAAAGATATCCCTACCTTAGAAAAAAAATAAAAAAATAAAGTTAACTTTGCACTGATTTCGAGCTCTTTTTTTCACCCCGACTGTTTTTTATATGGAGCAATAGTAGTTTGGAGAATTGGGAAGAAAATAGGACGAAAGGAAGTTCCTTTGATGACCTTCAGTTACAGACTCACTGTGGCTAGCCTTTGAAGTTAGCTGGCCACTGCTTGGGTGCTCTGTCAGGCAGCTGATCTCAAAATACAAAACACAAAGCATTCACAACTAAATGGAACATTATCAGGGTGGAAGTTGAAGAGATCAGAGTTTAAAATCTTAATTGAGAAAAATAAACAATTCTCAGGGGTTTTTGCTCTGAGCTGCGGGGGAAGTAAATCCAGAGCTGCTCTCTGGGGAAGAGACTTAATGGTCTACGTGCTTTATTTGATCCTACCAGGAATCCAGTTAGAGATTTGGACCCGGTACATCAATACTTAAGTCTCTTTTAAGGAACACTTAAAACTTTACCAGGCTCTGTTTTGAGCCAGTATGGTGCAAAGGAGCAGTTAGAAATCCCACACAAAAGATTGCTTGCCGGGGGCTGGAGAGATGGCTCAGTGGTTAAGAGCATTGCCTGCTCTTCCAAAGGTCCTGAGTTCAATTCCCAGCAACCACATGGTGGCTCACAACCATCTGTAATGAGGTCTGGTGCCCTCTTCTGGCCTGCAGGCATAGACACAGAACATTGTACACATAATAAGTAAATACTAAAAAAAAAAAAAAAAAAAAAAAAAAAAAAAAAAAAAAAAATTAAAAAAAAAAAAGATTGCTTGCCCTGATGCATATGAGTGCAATTCAGAAAGAAACCCAAGAGCAAAATTAAAAGTATCATTACTGAGCTGGGCATGGTGGCCATGCCTTTGATACCAGCACTGAGAAGCAGGCAGAATTCTGTGAGTTTGAGGCCAGCCTAGACTACATAGCAAGTTCTAGGACAGGACAGCCAGGGCTACATAGTGAGAGCCTATTTAAAAACAAAACTTCCTTTAAAAAGTTAGAAAGCTATTAATGAGTTTGCCTTTATAATAGTCTATTTCGTTATTCCATGTCAGTGTTCAGTAGTGCAACCTATGGGTAACCATATGGCGGAACTAGAAAGCAAGCTCTGCTTCTCTGACAACCACGTGTCACTGCCACGTCCTTGGGAGACAGCAGCACCATCTCAGACATCTTTACAGTTTTCCTCAGAAGGAAGCCTGATGCTCTGGACAGAAAGGGTTTACAGGAACGTAGCAATCTCTAGTATTTTTCTGTTTTTTTCTGCTTTGTTTTGTTTTTAAAAAATGAGTTTTGACTTTTTAAGCATTCTCAATTGAAACTAGAGCCTCGGATGATGGAAACGTGTGTCGTCCCCCTCCCCCCCCCCAGCTCTGCTTCCCAGGTTTGCCAGAACTTGGGGGGAGCTTGAGTGAAAGCCATTCAGCAAAATTTTCTCTGACCGTAACAGAGGGGAGCTGTTTTCATTGGGGCTTTTGTTTGTCTGCTTTGTTTTTCGCTTGTTTGTTGGGTTTTTTGTTTGGTTTATTTGTTGTTTTAGTTTTTAGTTTGGTTTTTTTGAGGGATCCAATGTATCCCAGACGGACCTGGAACCAAAGGTGAGCATGAACTTCTGCACCTCTACCTCTCAGTGCTAGAATTTTACTTCTTTTCCTCCATGGCTTGTTTATATGGTGCTAGGAACTGAGCCCAGGGCTTCCTGCATACTAGGCAAGCACGCTGCTAACTGAAAAACATCCCCAACCCTGGAAAATTCATTTTAAAGATCATTTTTAAGCCAGACAAGGTAGCACATGGCTGTAACCCCAGCGCTTGGGACACTGACAAAGTGGTGTGGCCTTGAGTTTCATTCAGGGCAGACCAAGCTACACAGTTAGTTCAGACTTTCTTTATAAATAAATAGTTAAAACCTATGTGATATGAAAATAAGCCATTGTCTGTTGTTATTGAAACAGACTCCTGGCTATGTAGTCCCCTGCCTCAGCCTGAAAATCTAGAGCTTTCCATATTGGTGCATATCACTGCTACCATGTAAAGTCATTTGTTCACTGAAGTACTAGAATCCATTATCCGGTGAAAGACCACAAGCCACATGGTTTTACTGAAATTGTATTTAGCATTTAAAAGTGGACATATAGCTCTTCAGTTACGGTAATAGCCACATGAGCCTCACGGCCGCCTTATTAGACAGAACTAGACTATCAGAACATTTCCATTGTGACAGAAAGTTCTAGATGGCATAAACAAAATGGTAGTAACCATTTTAAATTTTACAGTAGCCAGGCCATAGTAGCACACACTTTTAATCCCAAACACTTGGGAAGCAAAGGAAGGTGGATCTCTGAGTTCGAGGCCATTCTGGTCTACAGAGCTAGTTCAGTACAGCCAAGACTACACAAAGAAACCCTGTCACCCAAAACAACAACAAAAATGTGTGTGTGTGTAATGACTTCATATGCTTCTGAGATCATGTTCTTGTTCTGAAGTTTTGTAGGAAGTCAGCACTGGAATCTGGGTTTTCAGATATGATGGCACAGGACTAAGCCCAAAGATACTCAGTTCATAAAGAGCTGTGATTTCTGAGATCCGTTCCTGAATTATTTTGTTCCAGTTTTTGGTCGCCATCAAGTGTTAGATTTAGATATTGCATTTAGGTGAACCGGTTAACAGTTTCTCAATGAAAGTGCCAATATGTATTTCCTAACCGATTCCCTTCCTTGGGAACAGAACACAATGTTATTTTGGACTCTTATTTGGAAAACTTGATAAGTGAACTTCTTGGTATGGTTTAGTGAGGATGTACCCAAGACAAACTGTCCTGTGGAGCAGGAATATTTATCCTTGGGTCCATTTCTGCCTTGGCACTGACATATCGCCCTTCATAACTCATTAATCATCCACCCTCAATTCCAAATGGTACAACTTGCTAATGGGAAAAACTAGGACTCTTTTTTTTTTAATCTTTTTTTTTTTTGTGGGGAGGGGAATTCTTTTTTGGACATGGTTTCTCTGTATAACAGCTCTGTATATCCTGGAACTTGGTTTGTAGACCAGGCTGGCCTCAAACTCACAGAGATCTGATGTAGGCACCTGCCTCTGCCTCCTGAGTGCTGGGATTAAAGGCATGACCCACCAGACCCAGCTTGACAAGCTATTCTTAAACATGTTTTTACTTCAAAACCTAAGTGACATTATTTTTTTTTAATTTATTTATTTTACATATATAGTGTTCTGGGCACCAGATCTCATTATAGATGGGTGTGAGCCATCATGTGGTTGCTGGGAATTGAACTCAGGACCTCTAGAACAGCAGTCAGTTCTCTTAACCTCTGAGCCATCTCTCCAGCCCCTAAGTGGCATTATTAAAAAAAAAAAAAAAAAAAAAAAAACAAACTATATTCGGAGAGAGGATGGGGAAAGCTGGCCGTACTGGGCTAGGATGAAATATAGTCAACCTGACTTTTATACACCTTCCGGTTGCTGTTTTCTTTTTCCTCTAGTGAAGAGAGAATTCTGCTGGAGGGAATGGCTGCCTCCTCGTCCTCGTCGTCAGCTGGCGGGGTCAGTGGGAGCTCTGTCACTGGTTCTGGCTTCAGCGTTTCAGACCTTGCCCCGCCACGGAAAACTCTGTTCACCTACCCTAAAGGAGCCGGAGAGATGTTAGAAGGTGAGCTCACGCTGTGTTTGCTGAGCACTCGGCTGCAGACCTTCAGTGCATGTGAAGTGTAAAGCAGCGGGGTGCGGGGCTCAAGCCCTTGAGTGACTCGACCAGCTTTGGCACTGGTGCCAGGAGCCCTCTCCATGCCTAGCTCCAGGTTACCTTGTTGTGGCACCTGTTCGATGTATTTTCTTTTTAGTAAGTATCTATAGATAGATTAACCCCACCAGACAGGCCCGAAGGGAAATAAAAGACAACGCATATACCTCTGTGAAGGTGACTCTTGTGGCCAGCCCACAGAAGGACATCACTGTGTGACTGCATGGTTTTTATAGCACTGGAGACAGATTTGCAACCACCATCTTATCACACACTTGCAGACTGCCTGGCTAGAAATAGGTCACAGGCAGTGGTCATAAAACAGTGCTGGTGACCAGAATCCATCAGGTTCATGTTAAGCTAGACTGGTAATTCATGGAAGGAGCATCAAACTCACAAGAGACACTTACTTAAAATGAGCATGTCTTGCTTGGCAGGTGAATCTCTGAATTCTAGGCCAGTCTTGTCTACAGAGTGAATTCATAGGCCAACCAGGGCTGTACAACGAGACCCTTTCTCTTTTCCAGAAAGATAAAATGCGTGTGTCTGGATTCGCCCTAGAGATCCTCAATTAGACTAGGACAGGAATCTTTGGTTTTTGACCAGGGTCCAGGGCCTTCTCACGAGGGAGTCTTCCCATCCTTGAAAAACATTGAAAAACATTGGCAAATGCTTTTACACTTGAGTCGAGCATTTTTGTGTTGAATTATAAAATGGTCTTTTTTAATTTAAATCTTGCATGGTTTGCATGGATATATTTTAAAACAATTAGAAGATGTCTCTGAGAAAGGTACAAACTATATTTGGGCCTGGTTTTGGTGGGGTGATCATTTATATTTATATCAGATACTTTAAAACAAACAGTTTCAGGTTAAACAGTGCCAAACACCATAACTGGTGTTTTTCCTGTAGTGTTGGAGATTGAACCCAATGACCTCATGCATGATAGGCAAGCATTCTTTGCCCCAGCTGCGTGTCTAGCAAGCCAGGACAAACAGAAGAATCATTTGTGATAGAAAAACAGGCCTAGCACCATAAGGCTCTGGGGTAGATTGCTTGTGATTGGTAGTGAAGCAGCCAGCCATGTGTGATCTGGGAGGTGGTGGATCAGGCATGCGCACTTCGGCCCTTGCCTTTTGTTGCCTCCATTTGTGTTAATACTCACCAGGTCTGACTGGAAGTAGAGGCTTTGTCTCCACACGGAAAGTAAATCTCAACTTTAACTATCTGTAGCAGAGATGTGTCAAGAAAGTTTCCCACAGAACAAACGACAAGTTGAAGGCACTTAAGTTGCTTAGTGAGCTTTATAGAGCAGAAGAGAATCAGTGTCTAACACTGCTTCAAGGAAAAGTCATGAAGCTAGTCCTAGCTGGCGTCCTGGGAGGTTTCTGTCCGACCGTTTTCACTGCCTCATGGGGAGTTGATTGGGGTCTGTGGTAGAATAGATATGTTAGATTTAAGTGCACAGTTGTGGCCCTCCTGCATCCCAGTCATCTTAAAAACTACTTACACTTAAAGACAGACTAGAAAACAACTGACTTGGCCAAACCAAGGATCTGACATACCATTTAATATTGAAAAGAGAAAGAGAAAAGGACTGGTGAACCATTTCACCACGTAAAAGGTGCCTGCCACCACACCTGACCACCCGGGTTTAATACCTGGGTCTCATGGTGGAAGGAGGGGACTGACTCCCAAAAGTTGTCTACCGACCACTCCACAACTTCCAATACATGAATGAATGAATGAATGAATGAATGTCAAATTATAAAAATGGAAAAGTCCACCATTACTCCACAGTATATGCTGGGGTGTGATTCTGTTTTACCTCTCCTCCTCATGAATACCACTCCTCTGTTCCACACATGCCTCATCTCCATGGATACTGAGGTCAACAGGTGCTCGGATCTCTCCCGGGAAATGGCATGGTATTTACATATGACTGTGCATATCCTTCCCTTTAGCACTCCTAAATGTGCGTTGACAATGGTGTCAGATTTAGAGGTTGTACAGTGAATATGCATGCATCAAACCATTTTTTCTTCGTTCTTGTGTTTATTTTTGAGTCTTGTGTAGTCCAGACTGACCTCTATCTCTTTGAACTCCTTATCCTCCCCCTGCTTCCCAAGTGCTGAGATTACAGGTCTATATTACTATGTCTGGCTTCTTCCATGTTGGGGACTAAACTCAAGGCGCAGTGCCTGCTAGATAAGGTACCTTACCAACTGAGCTACGTGCCAGGCCCATTCTTCATACGTCAGTGTCATGGAAGAGGAAAGTGGAAACAAGCTATAGTGATGGATTCAGGTAATCCCAACACTCAAGAGGCTGAGACAGGAGAATGGCTGTGAGTTCAGTGATAGCCTGTGCTACCTAGAGACTTCCATACCAGCCTGGGCAATGAGTGGGACTTTCTAAAACGAAAGGGAACAGAGCAAGGTTGGCTTCGAGAGTGAGGAACAAAAGCTTTAGGAGTCAAGGTTGGGTGTGTGTCAGAATCCCAACAGGTTCAACTTGATGTTGCCTGCTCCTAAATCTAGGATAATAAATCCAAACAACCTGTAGTTAACCTCTCACATTAACTTTTTGGTGCATCTGCTGTCTGCTAACAGCAGTACGAAGCAAGCTTTAACAGTCTCCTACCCTCCGCTGAGATTGTTCTCACCCAGTTATTAGTGAGCAAATGAGAGGCTGCCTTCCAGCCCAGAAGTGGCTGTGTTTGAGGAACCTCACTGGCCACTGGTTTATAAATCACCCGGGATTGTCTCATTTCCTACTGTGAAGTAATACCCTTCAAATGAATTTCCATAGCCTTGAATTTAAGGGAATTAGTGTTAGATGTGGGCTCTTTACTGAACTTTTTCACCCTGATGCCCAGTGTTTTGATTACAGTTGTAAATAGAAAGCAGGTCACCTGGCTGACTCTGCTGGAGAAATCCCAACCTTTAGATCGGTAGATGTTACATCAGATAGGGTGTGGCTTAAGAAGCAGTGGACTTTGTAGTTAACACAAAGCTACACGTGCGTGCGCGGGATGCATTCTCTCTCAGGCCTGAAGTATGGGTACCCAGGCACCTTTTTGGAAAATGTGCTTCTATATTTTTGCCTTGGACCTCATCACCAAGAAAGATAGGCCAGTGTGATAATTTATGCATTTTATCCTAGTGGGAGGCAGCACTTGCAGTAGCTTTCCCACGGGCCACTTGATCCTTACAGCCCACTTCCCACAGTTCAGGATCACACCACCTGGGAGGCCAGCTCTGCTTCTCTGTGCTTTGTTCTTTGCAAAGTAAACCCTGAGTTGTACTTGAGCTCTTAAGCAGGATGCCAGTGTGTGTGTGTGTTGTTTACCTGCAAGAACATCATAAACTGGGCTGGAGAGATGGCTCAGCAGTTAAGAGCACTGGCTGCTCTTCCAAAGATCCTGAGTTCAATTCTCAGCAACCATATGGTGGCTCACAATCATCTGTAATGAGATTTGGCGCCCTCTTCTGGCGTGCAGGCATACATGGAGGCAAAACGTTGTATACATAATAAGTAAATCTAAAAAAAAAAAAAGAACATCATAAGGTGCTTCGTTGGTGCCAAGTTCACGCAGCTCCCTTCCCTGGGTGGAATTTGGAGTTATCCACTGCTCTCTGCTCTTACAGATATGCATCATGATGTCATCAGCTTGTCTAGATCTTTACACCAGTCAGAAGCAAGGGGTGCAGCTGAGCAGCAGCTAGTACACCTGGCATGAAGGCAGTGCTCTAGGCTTGACCCCAGTACCACGAAAAAGAAAGATGAGAAGCCAGGAATGGGAAAGAAACGTGAACCTACAGATTGCTCAACCTAAGAGTGATTTCGATCTCTTTCTCTCTTCCGTTGATTTGAAGTTAATAGACATAGCAGGAAGCCTTTTTTGGTTGTGTGTTCACACCATTCAGATAGTCAGTAGCTGTGCTTTTCCCTTTGACTACCAGGACTTGGAAAGAAAGGTTTGTGTGAAACTCAGCGGGAGGCCAGAATGTGTTGGTAGCTTCCTGTCGCTAAATCCCTGTGACACACCAATCCACGGCTGATGAGTGAGTGCTGACATCTAGCAGTGCTAGTGTGAACTGCTACCTTGAGAGAGACAGCTGTGTCCTCTCTTTCCGTTTGTTTGAGAACTTTGCTAATGAACCACCTGTCCCCGGGGGGTTTTGCTGCCCTTTAAAACATGGAATTTTCCTATGTGAATTGTGAGTCTTTGGGGATGTGTTTTGCTGGATCAGCCTTTGCACTGACGAGTGTCAGGTTTCCCAATCACCCTCTGAGTATCACAACAACTGAGCTAGCCACCTTCTTGTTGGCAGGTCTTGGCACCAGCTCAGTGCTAAGGTCTGGGCTTGCACCATTCCCTTATCGTCATTCAAATTGCATGCTTGGTTCAGTCGGAAAGTCAGGGCTACAATTTGTGTTTATAGGATGAAGTTTCCCAGCAGGGTTTTGTGATGGTCATGGTGATACAATTTGATATATTAAAAGCCGACAGCTGCTTTCCCCTTGGCTCTGTTTTTTTAGAATAAAAGTGATTGGAGTTTTGTCGTAAGTCACACAAGTACCACATAGCTGGGTGTGTCAGCTGCCTTGTTTGCCTGCTGTTCAGGTCAGGAAGGGGGCAATGGTGACCGGGACATCAGGCTAAGGTTTCTTGTTTTTGTAACACTATTTTTGAACTCTCAAACAAATAGGACTATTTTAATATCCTAGCCATAGAAGAGCAGCCTTTGCGGAGCAGCGTTCTAAAGGACCCCTCTGCTCACACCAGAGACGTCTTAGATCTCAGTTGTAGAAGCGGGAGAATGGGCAGGCTCGCTTGCTTTTCCAGAATTTATTAAAGCTAACGCCTGTGCCCTTTCTCTTGTAGACGGCTCTGAGAGGTTCCTCTGTGAGTCGGTGTTTAGCTATCAGGTGGCGTCCACGCTTAAACAGGTGAAGCATGGTAAGTGCATGAGCTGCCGTCCTTCCTACAAATGCATGTTCATGGGAAGTGCATGAGCTGCCATCCTTCCTACAAATGCATGTTCATGGGAAGTGCATGAGCTGCCGTCCTTCCTACAAATGCATGTTCATGGGAAACAAGGGCACACATTCTGAAAGGTCACTGTGCTGTGACAGAAGCCACAAACTGTTTAAATGACTTTCTGAATTGAACACTCTCAAGATCTTGTCCAGATTAAAAACCCCCATGGAGGTTTGAAGTCCTGGTTCAGTTCTTTCAGGAGTCGCTGCTTCCTGCTCCTCTGTTCCTTTACCTACCCTTTGTGAGACCCCTTGCTGCTTACTGCCCTGGTGTCCGTGCAGCACCTGCCCTGTCCACGCTCTGAGCCCTCGGTGACATGTACACTTCACCAAGTCTCCATCATGGATCAGGAACCATGTCCCCTCCTGCCCGCTCCTCCTAGGAGAAACCCATGGGAGCTTCTAAATGAAGCCCTGTGGCTTGGAGAGCAGGGACCTGTTTATACTGTGTTTTTGTTTTTAGGTGTCTCCTGAGTGCTGGGGTTACAGACATAGCCGCCAAGTCTACCTCCATTTTTTAGAATCTAGCGTATACTGAGAGTGTGAGGACGGGCAATGTCCTTTTCCAGTGCTAGGGCTCAGACGAGCGTGACACTTGCTGGCCATGTGCTCCACCACTGGGGCTCAACCAGCCTCTAAAAGTGGGGTTTGGTTTTGTTTGCTGCTGTTAGTTTTTTGTTGATGTTAATTTTGATTTTTTTTTTCTGAGACAGGGTTCTGTGTGTAGCCCTGGCTGTCCTGGAACTCATTCTGTAGACCAGGCTGACCTTGAACTCAGATCTGCCTGCCTCTGCCTCTGGAGTGCTGGGATTAAAGGCATGTGCCACCACCACCCAGCTGTATTTTTTTCCTTTATTATTTTTATTATTATTATTTTCTCACTCTAGAACTCACTATGTAGCCCAGGCTGACCTAGAACTCTGAGCAATTCTTCTACCTCCACTTCCCAAGTACTTGAACCAGCACTCCTTGCTTCTTGCTACTTTTAATCTTCTCTCTTTCCCGCCCTCCCCCATCTCTGTGTGTGTATCTCCCTTTACTGTATCTGTTTCTCTGTCTCCCCTCACCCCCGTCTCTGTATGTGTTTATGTCTGTCTGTCTTTCTCTTGCATGTGTGTTTTTTTACTTTTTTAAATGAAGACAGGGAGAGTTTATTAAGGAATTTGAGAGTCTTGCTATAAGGAGCTACTTCCATACAGAAATAGAACCCTGCTTTCTTTTGGGGGAAACGGACAGGAAACATTAAGATACAGATTTAAGCATAGAGATTTCTAGAAAGAGAGACCCTTAGGAAAAGGAGAGTATATAGCCAGGAGAGTCACACCTGTATTTCTTAATAATTGCATTTAAAATTATTTTAATATAAAAAGCTTTCCAGACTCAGAGAAAGAACAGATTTGTCAAGGAAAGGGTTGAGCCTAAAGGGAGATAAAGGGATGGAGGACCTTGATGGATTAACACAGCAGGAGAAAATAGAAAAACATTCAGATAAGGGGCTGGAGAGATGCCTCAGCAATTAAGAGCACTGGCTGTTCTTCCAGAGGACCTGGGTTTCATTCCCAGGACCTACGTGGTGCCTGGCAAGCATCTGTAACTTTAGTTCCAGGGGATATGACACCTTCTCCTGGCTTCTTAGACACATACACATATACACATAAATAATAGAACATAATGAGAATGAGTGGATTCAGGAAGACACCCAATACCAACCTCTGACCACTAGGTGCCTGACACACATGCACACACGTGTATGCACACACATCAAGGGCAGTACTCACAGAAGCTGATGCAGCTCGGTGGTAGCACTCGACCCCAGGTTCAGTCTCCACCACTGCAAGCAAAGGGGAGAAACAGTGCAGATGAATGGAGAATGGCTGGAAGTGTTCCTGGTCTTCAGACCTACATAAAGTCAGACCTCATTACCAAATGTCAAGTGGGAAAGCCCAGCCACAAGTTCTAGACCAGGGGTCACGTTTGTGAGTGGTGACAATCTCATGGGAAATGCCCTGTTGTTTTCTGCCCCTTCTGACTCTCTACAGATCAGCAAGTTGCTCGGATGGAAAAACTGGCTGGCTTGGTGGAAGAGCTGGAGGCTGATGAGTGGCGGTTTAAACCCATCGAGCAGCTGCTGGGGTTCACACCCTCTTCGGGTTGATGTCGCCTGCATGGTCGCTCCTAGGGCACAGCCACCCAGAGATTCACAGCTGTACTATGAGCTGCATGTCTGAATTCACATCCTAACTTGATTCCTCTGTTTCTATTATCAGGCCACAAATGCTCATGTGAGATGTTACTGAGAAGTCTTTCACATGTTTGCTTCTAAAAGTATTGGGAGGCAAGTGTAGAAGGGTCTCTGTGAGTTCGAGAATGGCCTGATCTACATAAAGTTCCAGGACAGCCAGGGCTACATAGACCCTGTCTCAAAAACAAAACAAAACAAACAAACAAAAAAAGATATAAGAGCTAGCTAGAAGCCGGGCAGTGGTGGTGCACGTTTTTAATCCCAGCACTCAGGAGGCAGAGGCAGGTGGATCGCTGTGAGTTTGAGGCCAGCCTGGTCTACAAGAGCTAGTTCCAGGACAGGCTCCTAAAGCTACAGAGAAACCCTGTCTCGAAAATAAATAAATAAAATAAAAGTAAAAAATAAAGTATTGTGGATCAGATTAAGGCAGTCCTCTTAGGGAAACAGGAGGGTTGGGATTTCAGAGATAGTGATACAAGTCTCCCAAGCCAGACACATGCCAGAGTTCGCCAACTGATGGCATGTGTCCTGTCATTCATAGAGCACCTGGAAGCTTTCTCCAGTCAAACCCAAGGTCAGGATCCGTAATCGTCACGGTCATGGCCCAAACATTTCTTATCACAGATGAGTATGATTTCAGCTCAGGGTCTATCCAGATGGGGGATTTTAAGGTGTTCTTTCTCCCTCTATTCTTAGACATTTAAATGTTACAGATTATTTTTCTCGCCTCTTATGATATGCTAGATGGTGCTACCCCACCCCATCCCTACACCCTAAAATTGTTTTTTGAATTTTGCAGCACTTGAAAAAATAAAGTGACCTAATTCCTTTTAGATCCAGAAATCTTTTGTCCAACTCATTGGGGATAGTCTGAAACCAATGAATCTGTAAGAGTTCCAGATTGGCACACTTGCCCTTTCAAAGTCCGAGGGATTTGGGACAGAGAAAGAGGTCAGATTACTTTCTTGTTAGAATCTAAAGTCATTTCTCTTAAGTAAACAGTAGATTTGCTTTGCTTCCAAGCTGTTTGCTGATACAGTGTCCACACTTCTGCCGCCTCAGTAGGTAGGATTGATTCTTCCCTTTGTTTGGATCCTTGTCTCGCTCTCTAACGAGGCTGGCCTCAAACTCATAGCAGTCCCCCTGCCTCAGCCTACTAAATGTTAGGATTACCCTCCTCTCTTCACTAGGTTTTTACCCTATGGTAGAGGAAAAACCTGGAAGATAAAGAGGTTGCTTTTGTGCCTAATCATGGGACCCCACACTTGACAATTAGGCGGATTACTATTTTACGTACAGATTTGCCCTAGCCAGCGTTTACCTTTCTGCTCATCAATTAATAATTTGCACCTGATCTGCTTAGAGTTGCTAAATTACAAATAAATTTAATCCTAGCAGCAATTGGCCTTAATCTCGGGAGTTCAAAATATTTAACACACACTCCGTGACAGGGAGGAGGAGTTGACCTTGGTAGCTGCTGAGCTCCAAGGAGGTGGAGTTAGAGGAACTGCTCAGAGTCTGTAGCTCTGGCAGAAGATAGTCTTGTAAGTTGGGATGGAGGGACACTGATGGATTACGGAGTCCACTGTTCTTGTCTGAAGCAGTCCAGAGCTTGAGAAGTGCCAGCCCACAGCCCTTGGGTCAGATTTTCAGCGAGTCTAGAAGCTGTCGCCCTCATTTCAGATGTGAAACTGCAGCACTGACTCGCCTGCCTTTACCCTCTGGCGTTTGGACTTGACACAGTTTTTACAGTGTTTAAGGAGGGTGTTTCTTGACGTGACCCTGGACGTTAAAGAGAAGCCAGGCTTGGTAGCACACAATTTAGCACCTGGGAGGAAACGGGAGGATTAGGATTTCATAGCCAGCCTGGGCTACGTGAGACCCTAAAGAGAAGCTAGAGGGGGTAGAGAATGGAAGAGGGAGCAGAGAGAGATGACGATGACGAGATATTGAGGAGACCTGGGCTAACCAGGTCTTCATTCGTGAATTTTTGGTGCGACTCATCCAGCTTCATCTCCAGCCCTGCCAACAGAACCCTGCCTACTTCCTGAAGGTGTTCTATGTCTCTGCCCCTTTCTGTTGGCCATTGTCTTTCACCCACAGTTCTGCCGTGCTTTGGGTTAGAACTGGACTGTCTGTCTCTTCTCTCATGTGTGCACTTACTGTGTGCCAGTCACTAGCGGCCCTTAGTTACCCTGTCTCTGCACGCAAACTGTATGATAGATACCCTCCAGCACACACCATGAAGAGGACCTTGGAGCCCAGAGCAAGTCAAACACTTCAGATCCAGTCTGCCAGCCCCCAAAGCTGAGACTGTTTAAAACATCCTACTGTATTCCGGTGACCCCAGCCCTAAACCTTGTACAATGAAAATGTCAGGGGCTGGGACAGTGGCTCAGCCAGTAAAGTGTCTCACAAGGGACTGAGTGTGATCTCCAGAACCCACATAAAAGCCAGGCATGGCAGCTCACACTCAGGACCCAGCACTGGGGAGACAGAACCAGGCGGATCCTTCAGCCTTGCTGGCAACCAGTCTAACTTAATTGTTGATTTTGTTTGTTGAGACAGGGTCTTGTGTCCCCAGGTTAGTTCTGAACTCAAGCCTCATATAACCCAGGCTAGTCTTGGACTCCTGATTCCCTTCCCCCTACTTCCAAAGTAGAATTGGCAGGTATATGCTACCAAGCCAACAAGAGCTTTCCATTTTTAACTCTGCATTTAGTATCAATGCTAAAGTTCAGGGTTTAGGAGCTAGAGAGATGGCTCTGTGGTTTAGAGTACTTGTTGCTCTTAGAGAAACCTGGGTTCCATTCCTAGCACCAACATTGTGGCTCACAACCGTCTGTAACTCCGATTCCAGTGGATCCAATGATTACCTTCTTCTGACCTCTTCAGGCATCAAGCACAGATGTGGTACACATACATGCAGGTAAAACATTCATACACATAAAATTAATCCTTAGTAATAATAATAGTGAAGTACAGGTTTTAGAGTAGGGGTTTGTTGGATATATTGTCTTACCCAAATTGACCCCAAACGTCTGGGTTTAAGTGGCCTTCCTCTTTCAGCCTCCCAAGTAGCTGGTGCTACAGATATGTACAACCACTCCAGCCAAAGGCCCAGAGTTTCTCATGATGCATGTTAGAGTATTTGGATTTTTTGTTTGTGTTTTGTTGTATTGTGGTATATGTGTGTACACATGCCTATGCAGGCGCATGTGTGCAGCCATGTGTGCATGTGTGTGAAAACCAGAGGCTGATAGCAGGAGTCTTCCTCAACCACCCTCCACCTTCCTTTTTGAGACAGGATCCGCCTGCCTCCCCTGCACTGGGATTACAGACACACTCTGTACCTAGCTTTTTATGTAGGTCTGGAGGCCGTCTGATCCTCATGCTTACGTGGAAAGCATTTTACTGAATAAGCCACCTACACATACACCTTTTTTTGTTTTGTTTTTGACACAGGATCTCCTGTGGCTGATGTTGACTTTGAACCCCTCCCCTGGCCTCCTCCTGTTCCTGAGTGTGAAGGGAACAGGCACATGCCCCCAGGTCTGACTCAAGGGTTGTAGTTGTCGCTTCCGCCCATCAGTGCCCCGGGCTCTACGCCAGCTTCTAAAGCAAGGAGCTTTCTTTGCCCATTTGTGCGCAGCTGTGGCCTCTCCTTCCTCACATGGTTGAAGCCCCATCCTCTGTTCCAAGCCTGGCAGAAACTCTAGGCTTTAGAGCTGAAAGCCTTTAGCTCTGTAGAGGAGGAGCTGGAACCAGGAGAGCTGCCATGTTGAAGGAAGACTTGGTGCTCCAGGCAGACCTGAGGGACCTTGGCCTCAGGCAAAAGTGCCTGCCTCTCTGTGTTCTTTTACCAAAGCACCTAATTGTGCCTAAATATCTTGACAGGCCTATTTATAATTGCCTGAAGTGCCGCACGGGAGATAAGCCTTAAGTGACAGATACTTGAGAGTTAAATCTTGGGCTGCAGGCAGAGCATTAATAACACCAGATTTTTTCCTGTTTTCCCAAAGCGGAGAGTGGGAAGGAGATGGTTCCAGGGGAGGAGGAGAAGGTAGAGGGAGCTGGCTGGAGCTTGGTGCTTTGCACACTGACCTTCTGTGGGTCCCTTATTAGTACCTGGGGCAGGGGGTTCTTACAGCTAGGAGAGGTGAGTTCACCTTCCTTACAAAACAAGAATCTGCTGTGACTTCTGGGTCTTCGGTGCCTAGGAACTGCATGGCACATAAGGAAAATCTAACAGGGCTGGAGATTTGGTCAGTGGTAGAGCACTTACCTAGCATGCACGCAGCCCTGGAGTCCATGGTAAACACTGCAAATATATATGTGTTTAGTGGATCTTTTTTGTTTTCAAGTGCTGGAGTTTGTTTTAGTTACTTCTCTTGACCCAGTGACCAAATACCTGACAGATTTCATTAAGTCAGGAGGGGTTTATTTCAGCTCACGGTCTGTTTAGGGGACATTGACACAGGGAAGGCACAGGCTAGACCTGGCTTCTGGCTTTGGGAGTATAGAACAGCTGCCAGTTACGCAGCTCCAACCAAAAAGCTGAGAGCCAGACTTTTGGAAGCCAAGCAAGCCTATAAATGCTCACAGCCTCTCCTTCAGCCTGAAGTTTGCAAGCCAGGCCTTGTGTTCAAAGGATTCTCCAACCTTCCAAAACAGCACCACCAGCCAGGGACCGTGAGTTCAAACACAGGAGCCTGTGAGGGACATTTCACATGGAGACCATAACAGGATTGAGCTCAGGGCCTCATTTTTGCTAGTCAAGTGCTCTCCACTAAGCTACAGCCCGAAGCATTTCTGTAGTCTAAAAAACTACTAGCAGGACTGGAGAGATGGCTCAGAGGTTAAGAGCATTGCCTGCTCTTCCAAGGGTCCTGAGTTCAGATCCCAGCAGCCACATGGTGGCTCACAACCATCTGTAATGGCATACACACAAACAGAATATTGTATACATAATATATAAATATTTATAAAAAAAACTACTAGCAATTTCCAGTGCCAAATCTACAGTGGGGCACTCAGAAACTATGTGGCAGAGACCAGACTACCCTAGACTCAGCCCAGAGCACTTCCTCTCCTCTGCTGCACTGATGGTCTAAACTGTGGAACAAACAGAAACCTCAGATTAGCTGTGCAGCACATGATGCCATCAGGGTGATGAATGAAGACCAGGGGTGCTGGTGGCTTCCTGTCCACCTGCAAATGGCACAGTGGCA